TGCCGTTTCTAGGTCGTCCAAAGTCAAAGCTTCCGTCTCGTCCGATTCGTGGAGGAATTCGATCAGATTGATTGGTGAATTTGGCCGTAAGGATTCCTCTGCCCAATGTTCCAGCAGTCTTTCTACCAAATCCTTCACGGCTGTTGCCCCCTCCTCTTTAGTGGCCTTGTCTGTCATCTAAAGGCTGGTGAGGTCGATCAATACTTCGCGCGCTGAATCCTATCGAATATTCTCGGCGCCTAACTCCAGCACTTTCTGGGCCGTTGTTCTAGTTGGTCGGCCGTTTGCATCGTGGCCGGTGAGAACAACCCATCCAACGTCGTCGTCGTAGATCCGAGCTTGTACGGCGTTGGCCTCGAAAGGCTTTTCATCGGCCGGGTGTATAGACACCTTCTGGCCATCCCAAAAGAATAATAGCTGGAAGAGAGAGGACGGTATACATCCAGATTGATGGATCCAATCGCGGCCGAGCAGTATGTTGTAGTCGACGTTGGATTCGACCACGTAGAAGGCCGCGACTCTTGTCTGGTCGGCCACGGTAATCTTTAACGGCAACACGCCGATGGTTTTAGACTTATCGCCGACAAAGCTGCTCATGACCACGTCGCTGGGGATAAGGTCCTCCTTTGACTTGTCCAGCTTCCTCATCAAGGAATGAGGAAGGATGTTGACCGTTGCCCCGCAGTCAACGAAAACCTTGGATACGGGCACACCCTCTATATGAGCCGAGATGTATAATGGCTTAAGGTGTCGGTATTTGTTCGGCTCGTCTCTAGGTATTACTTCGTTAAACGCCACGGCCAATAACTCTTCCTTTGTCTTTGGCCTCTGATCAAGCTGCTCCTCGGCCACGTCATCATCCAGGCCGTTGGTCTGTCCTCCTGGGGCTGAAAACTCGGATGGTAGTACCAGGACCATGTTAATGTCGACCTCCTTAGGCTCCTGCGGGTTTCCCGTTCCAGCTTCCTCTTCGGCCACGCAGCTGTCTTTGGCGAGAACTTTTTCCTCGACCATTCCGAGGATCCCCTCATATTCTTCGTCGGAGATTACTAAGGTGGGATCGTCTTCGGCCTCATGTCCGAAGGGAGGATCACCGAAACCCTCGATCATAGGCCTTGCGGTCCCCGGGGTACCAGCTGTGGATGCTTTGATGTCAGGGGGGTCCGAGGCCTCGACCTCCTCCTTGAGGGCCCGTTTAGCCTTTGTCAGTGCGTCCCTGGCGGCTAAGTAATCTTCTAAGCGGCTTACCCGGGCCTTTTCCTCGGTCGTCAAGCCAAAGACAGTGTCCGCCGGAGTCACAGTAAAGTACTGGCGGAGATATTCTAAATCGCCCTTGCTGAAGGGGGCTTTGGCCTCTGATCAGCCAAGGTCAGATTGGTAACTCGGCAGACCTCTCGCTCTGGCTTCCCTGTTTGCCTGGTATACGGCCTTAATGGTCGAGTCAGAACTGCTGGTGATGAGGAGCCTTTTTGCCTTTGTGTTCTTGAGGGCCAACTCCACGATTTCGCGGCTCTCAAGGGTCATGCCGTATAGGTCCGTGCCCGAGTGGTCTTTATGGAATTCCATGAGAAAGGACAGACCGTTGGTCGAAAAAGGGGGGTCCCTTCCACGGTAGATGTCGATGATACCCTCGTCTGTTCTTTCCAGGGCCGCGGCCTTCGGCTGAAAAGAAATGGCCGCCGTTCCACGGGGACTCTCGTCCTGCCTAGGGCGCCACGTTCTTGGAGGCTTGGTACTGGCCGCTTTTACCGCCGAGGGGACGATTGGGGTGGATGGGGTCCCGTCTGCAGCTGCCATTTTCTTTTGGTGCTTGGAACCTTCGGCCTCGGTTGCCTGCATTCTAGCTTGCTGAACTTGTCTCTGCATTCTCCTCAGCTGGGTTTTTGTCAGTGGCTTGGCGCTGCCCCCAG